CTCAGGTCTGCGGACCAGACACTATTAGAGGTATCGAGAACAAAGCGGAGGTCCAGAGGGGATCGAGCCTTTTCCGTTGATGGTCCCTCTCTTGGGAATGACCTCCTGCTGAACGTTAAGCAAGCCCCCTATCTGCCCATCTTTACAACTCTTGTTAAAACTAATTTGTATTCTTTGGCTTCTGACTCAACATGAGACTTGATTTTTTTTGTTTTACCGTTTTGGGGCTTTCTACTGTCTTGTTGTATGAATTAATTTTGCTCCATGTGCAGCACTTCGTACACCGGTTTTAAAAGTGCTCTAGAAATCCAGTTGGGTTGCATCAACAATCTTTCCCATGCGGGCGCTACATGTGGCACCCAGCCACTCATTAAATAATACAATTATCAACAATGTAATTAATTTAGTTTATTTCATTTAAAAAAAAAAGAAAAAAGAGCCATAAACAGATGACCATAGTTCACTCCAATCAAGACTTCCAAAGACAGTAGGGAACAACGGGCAAAAGCTTGAAGCCTTTGCCAGTGGCGTCTTTTAACCAAATATCGATTAAGCCAGCAACCATCTTGTGTACCTTAAAAAAAAAAGGAAACATAAGCTTGGGTAAACTTTTTTTTTGTAGTGTTGCCTACAATTTGCTTCCTATCTGCAGTTCGCTCTCTCTTGTGTGTGTGTGTGTGTGTGTGTGTGTGTGTGTGTGTGTGTGTGTGTGCGCGCCAGGATTGGTGGAATAGATGGCGAGTCAGACACATGCCTGGGATGGCTAAGATGTTCCATTTGAGAAGCCATTAATCCAATTCATTAATATGTGCATTACATACAGTACACGGAGAGCGCTCCCCATTGACAAATCCCTTTGGTATTTGTGGATAAAATCCTGGCGGAGATGCGTAAGTCACAAAAATTTTGGGCAGATTCCTGTCTAACAGGATGAAGATGGAAAATAGTTCAAAAAAAGAACGATAGCAGTTGTGCTTGTCTTTTGGTCTCTTTTTTTTCCAGGAGAGCAGAAATATTTGTGGCTGGGTATGTCATTCTCATCCCAATGTAGAAATCACCCAAGCATCAGTGCGTAAACTCTCCGACAGATTTAGCGTCATGATAAATACTCAAGACGGCAACAATGGCACATCACCGCAATTCAATTCAATTGTAATTCCAAAATGGATGCTTGTTTTACTGTAGAGCAACTCGGGGCTCTGAGTTGGGAAGCAATTGCGTCAATCATACGTGTCAAGTGACACCAAAAAAAAAAAAAAGGCAAGTGGAAAATTTACTCCAGATCGGTGCAGCGTGAGCATGAGTCACGTTTCAAACAAAACTGCGACATTTCAAGTAGGTGTTTGTTTATGGAATTTTACAATGGACGGCACACACCGGTCAGGTGAATTGAGAATGCTGAGCCACATTCTGGGTTGTTTTTTTTTTGTTTTTTTGGTTAAGAAAAAATTCAGACTTTTTGTACAGCTTAAAGTGATGTAAATGAGAGGTGTGCTACCTCTAATTCCCAAGAATTAAAGCCTACATTTAGGAGTGAGATGTGGAAAAATTGACAAACTATGCAATTTATAAGTTAGCAAGCCTATTTGGTGAAAGTTACAGTTGTGTAAAAATTAAGTTGGTTATTTAGGTAGCTATTCCTGGAGAGGTAACCATTCACTCAAGCCCCAATTTGATTTTCGATTTTTAGCTCCCAATTTCTATGAGATTATTTTTTTTTAAATCTTTTTTTTTTTTTTTTAACAAAATGAATGAGTCATTTTAGAACCAAAATATGTTTTGATTTTGGCATCTGCATTTGGTCCTTGTTACAGTCACTTTTTGTAACTTTACAAAAACAAATTTGAAAATGAGCTGCCGTAATCATTTGGACTTTTTTACTCCATTTTTATCTGCTCTTTGTTCTGTCAGTGCCTGAACTAAACATGAAAAAAAAAAAATAGACACTATACAATAGATTTGTCTGTTACCGTGACCAAACCTTTTGTGATCAAAAATTTGATAGTGATCTTATTTTTTACATTGATACAGATTTTATCGAGTTTAAATGTTTCAATGACTCGTGACATTCCTACTTATTTCCTGCGAGCCAACAGAATTATTTTTTTATCCTTAAAAGGGAATTAGATGAACTTTCACTGAAAAAAAAAACTCCTTCAGCCCCCCCCCCAAAAAGCAAACTTTAAATTGCATGCATCAACGTATGTCTTTTCAATCCTAACAAATTCACGTCACAACTACCGTCATTCTGCTCACTCTTTGAATTGTTCATTGTTAATCCCGTGACAAGTAGACTGACCAATAAACTTCTAAAAGGGATTTAAAAAAATCGTTAAACAGCGAAATAACAATCACTCAAGTGTAATGTTCAAAATAACTAAAACTGACATGTCCAGAACAATGTTCACGTACTTTGTAGAAAGTGAGCATACTGATTCCCACCTCTGTGCCCCCCTCAAGTGAAACAAGATCGCGTTAATGCTCATGCTGTATTTTATTGTCTTTCACGGTCTGTGAATTTAGCATCCACCACCCACTAACGTCCTCCCTGGGAACAACAGGTTAAAATACACTTGATGTAGTGCCAAGAAGGGTGCTTTTTCTCTCGCTACGCATGAGCGGCATGGTTTTTATCTTTTTTCAAGGACCAGTTCTGCCCGTCTACAATGATCTCCCGCAGTCTCAGCAGGATGCACAGACCCACAAAAAAAAAAAAGAGCTCCAATCTTCCCAAGTCAAGGAACAAGAGAAGTGCCACCATACTCTTCACTTCGGTTATTCGGGATTTGCAACTCCCTCTACCGGAGAAATGTCAGTACTTGAACAAAAAAAATGTGTAGTAAATTGGTGATGGGTGTGTGATTAGCCAGCAACCTTCAACCAGCATTTGTGGCAAGTCAACCAATGTGGCAAAAGAGTGCATTAAGATGGCCACGTATATTTAATTTCAAGACAGTCAGATTTATGGGGTTAGAGATGTGACAAATTCAGCTTTCTAAATGTCAGGCTTTATAAGAGCCACCATAAAATTAGACTTCTTCCATCCAACAGGAATTTTTTTTTGGGGGGGGGGGGTCCAAACATGAAGTATGTTTGACAACTTGTATGAGAAATTTCAAGGTGCCATTTCACAAAGTGCAATGAGATAGAATAACATGCAAACAATGCGAGCAGATGGCGAACATCGCGAGACAACAACGTACCTGTAAATTTAAAAAAAAAGGGCACAGGCAGCTTTACATTGATTAAACACTCCCAATCATGCACAACCTAATGTGCTACAGTACAGTAGTTAAGTTGTGAAAATGTATAAAATGGGATAATAATTATTATTATTATTGTAACGATTATGTAATTGTAACTATTATTGTGTTGTCAATGAAGAATTTTGAGCCACAATTGGATCCAAGAATTTTTCCCCCAAAACATAAAACTTTAAAGCCATACCCCACTGGGGGCGCTCGAATAAGAACAGGTTGCAGAAAGGCGTGTGTTTTTAGCTGTATAGAATCAAGTTGCCATGGTGATTGCACCCCCTTTTGTTGTTTTCTCAACACCCATTGAAAGATCTCTGGCACCCCCTACTGATAACTTCGGAAAATACCACTCAAACGCCACACAATGACTAGTACATTACTGTATACTGAAAATCATCCAGAACAGGTAGGATTTGAAACCTTTTCACATCGTACTATGAAGAAGATTCTTTAAAAAAAAACCACAACGGTATACATTGTATATATTTCGAATGGAATACAACGATCTCTAAAAGTTCCCAAAATAGGCTGCTTGAAAGGCATGAATGTAACTCAGCTTTTCATAGCTTGTCTGTTCTTCATAGATCTGTCGACCTCAAACTGATGCTGTATATTTAGCTAGCTGCATCCAAATAGTGCAAGTTTTTTTAATCACACTCAATTGACAAAATTCTTAACTATCAAAAAAATCTGTAATCCACCCACATTTGCTTTGAAAATGGCCTAATCAAATCACAGAAACCATAGATAATTTTCGTAAATTGAACCCATTTAATCTGTACAAACATTCACTTTTAGCATCTATAAATAGCCTACATATATCAAAGTGTAAAATCAATATCAAGCAAATATGTATTAAACGTTGAGGTAAAATAAAACGCAATAAAATATCCAGATAAACTTGATCAGTTGGTGGATCAAACAAAAACAAAACGGTTCCTTTAAAAACAACCCAATTCATAAAAAATGCATGAGAGCGGCCCGAGCAAGGAGCACAGAGTTTCATCATGAACCCAATGACACCAAAACCTGCAGTAGCAAAACGACACCCGCTAGATGGCGACATCCGGCTTAAAAATAGCTCTCAAAAAGTGAGCAAGGCTGAACTCATTGCATGTGGGAGGGAATTAGTTGGGCTTTTAAAGCAGCAAAATGCGGGCGGTGCACGTTGTGGTTTCAGTTCAGGTCCAACGGACAAGGGGACGTGCGCCTGACAGTTTTGATGACAGATGGAGCCAGAGCACCAAACACAAGCAGATGTCTTTGCTCAATTCGATCGAATCAACAGTGCAGACCTCCTTGGTTCTAAAGAGCAAAAATATTCTCAGGAGATTGACAGAGTAAAAGGGGAATGAACACACAGAAAGGAGGGTGAGTGAGTGAGTGAGTGAGTGAGTGAGTGACGAGCGTGCGGGGGGGGGTCGGGCGCGAGAGTCATTTTATCCTCGTGCGCATTCATTCGGAGGGGTCAGCGAGTGCGATTGTTCTAGGACGGCCTGTCAAAACAGTGCAGCCACCATGTGTGCCCCCACTCTCAAACGCACGAAGCCGTGCCAACACGCTCCCGTGCGCCCTCAAAAGCTTTTACCAACAGCACCATCGGGACCTCTTTTTTTTTTTTTTTTTTTTAAAGAGCTGCGTCACAGCGGCAACATCACCCACTGACACGCAGAGGCAAGTGAACAACATCACACAAGCAGTGCACAACTTGCTGCGGAGAGTCAAGAAAAACGTTTGCCTTACCAAGGGAGCTGGAGTCAGGTCGTGCAAACATCCCCCCCCCCAAAAGAAGGGGATGTCGAGGCCAACCCGACGGCGCCTTCCTCTCCAAGTTGAGCGCACACTGCGGAGGCCAGAGAGAGGCAATAGTCAAACACATGGCAGGGACACGCTATCACAGTGTGAGCAAAACAAGGAAGACAAGACGAAGGGTGGGGTGGGGGGGGGGGTACAGCAGAGAGAAAGGGAGGGACAGAGACAGAACCGGAGGAGTGAGAGAAGGTAGAAGAGTGAAAGTGTACCGAAACGGCACTTGAAAGGGTGGGAGAGGGCAAGTGAGTGGTGGAGAAAAGGGAGGGAGAGAGGGAGCGAGAGACCTAAGGAGACAGCGGTTGTTGTTGTTGAGTTGAGAGGACAGGGCCGTAGGGTAAAAGTGTTCAGCACACTGACACAAGAACAGCTCCATTATTCTGTCTGCGTGCAGATTATATTTCACATCCCATGAAGTCATTTGAACACAAGCAAAGATCTCTCCTTGCCTCATCCCTCTCATGGAACCTGATCATTGCGATTCCATTGCCTCCTTCCCCCATGGAAGAGGTACTTGCATGAGATTATCGGAAGGTGACGGAGTGGATATGGGCTCTGACAGGAGGATCTCAACTTCCCAGGAAACCCAGCAAAACAAAAATAACAACGTGTCCAGGTTCTCTCTGGTGGCCGGCTACTGGGAAGTGGCATGCCAACAATAAGCGTGTAGTCACCAGGAGGCCATTGCACAATACTTGAGTCCGTGTCAAGGGAAGGAGGGGGGTAACACAGCGGCAGGTTGCAAAGTGCAACAGCTTGTGGCAGGAACAACAGGAAAAAGTGGTCGAGGCCAGCGGGAAGGTTTTCTTTGACGCTGTCGTTTAAACGTTTCCAATAATTTTATTTGGCTCGTAAAAGCAAAACACAGCCAAGCTTAACTTCACTGTACCCTAAACTCAGTTTTGACCTGGTCAGTGCTTATTCATTTGAATGTCCACAACCAAGTGAGACAACTGAAAATGTGCACACTAAAGGATGTAATCACACTCACGTGTATTTAACTTTATTTAAAAAGTTAAAAAAAAATTTGAATATTGACTTACCCTGTTATTGTGGCTCAGGTGGTCAAGTGTAAACACTCTCACCTGAACATTGATACGGTCATGTAGCGTGGTGGTAGAGCAGGCAGGCAGGATAAGCAGGGTGGACTGAACAAAATGTATGAACAAAACACTGGAAAAACGAAATGGGAGCGCATTAACAAAGCCTTGAAAAGATCAAAATTCAAAGTAACAACAAAACACCAGGAACTAAAACACCAACCACTACGGGAAACAAAACACGACTGCAATAGAAACAAAACATCGCAGTAACACAACAAGACTGACAGAGCTCAGGAAACTGAATTCAAGCTAATTGATGTGACAACGAGGAACACCTGGACGAGACAAGACAAAAAGAGTTGAGCGAGCTGATTGGTTGACACAAAGGACCCGGATGACAACAAGTGGACACAACCAAAGGAGGAAGACAAAAACGCACGAGAAAATAAAAAACAAAAAACGTAATCCAAACAAAAACAGAATCATGACAGATTGACACTGTTAAACTGGCAGCACAAAGCAAGGGAAAATCAGAAATATATTACAGTACATACGTCGTCCAATAAGACTATATGCGTCTCAATACATGAGTACGATTCAAGAAAAAAACAGTTCAAGGTTTTGTAGTGAATGCCAAAATGATATCGTAGTTTTGGTCCAAATGCTTCATTAGCAAGATTATCGTTAGCAATCAGGCAGATGTTTTAACAAATAGGTCAATCGTAGCGCTAACGGACCTGAGTGTGGATAGCGTGTTTTCCCTCACGGGTACAATACAATACGCAACATACAAGCAGCAGCTGAGAAAGTGTTTACCGAGTAGACCGTCTGATTTTTTTTTAAACCCTTGTCATGCACGTCGATAGCTCAGGTGCTTCCCCACTTTGTGCCATTATGTGAGTTTCCGACACGTCACGTTTACCTCTTTCATCAAGTCTCGAAATTTTTTTTAACCCTTTCAGGGACAGCGGTTACTACAGTGGACAGCTTCTCATGTTATCAGGTTATAGGGTGCATGAAAGTGATAAATGCGGATGTTAAATTGCATGGCACGGAATCTGAGAATTTTGAACAAAAAAACATGAACACTTGGATGCAAAATTTCATAGAAAAAACACTTCATCATTTTTTCTCGTCTATAGCTTGACCATAAAGATTTTTTTTTTCTTAGCACAGAAAGCATATCAGAAAAATTGAGCCTTTCATGCACCCTATAACCTGATAACATGATAAACTGACCACTGTAGTGACCGCGGTCCCTGAAAGGGTTAATCTCCAACATTGTGATCAGCGAATATCAACACTGGAATTCGTCATTATGTATTGAAAGGCGATTTCTCAAAAACAACACGACAAAGAGTGACTTTGTCTCCCAACCATTGTCCTAAATCACATGTGAAGCAAAACAACTTTGGAGCCTCAAATCAGAACAGCATGTAACCTTCAGCTTGCACACGTGTTTTATAGAAATTGTATACCTGAATGACAACGTATGCCTTGAATGCACTTGAATAACCCGTAACATGAGCTCACATATCCGTGAGAACCACGCGTGGAGCCATGTGCTTTTCAATGTTGTCGAAGAGCAGGTCCTCCTTTCGAGAGCTCGCTGCTCGTAGCTCTTGTGGCTCACCGCATCCTCTTGTCGTTTGCAAAATAAACACGTTGTCATCACACACTTAGAGGCCTCCCCGAGCACGCGCATGCACTGACCTTCCCGGAGGCCCCGCTGTGTTGTACAATACGCGTATTTTCCGCACTATAAGGCGCACCTAAAAGCATTCCATTTTCTCAAAAGCCGACAGTGCGCCTTATAATCCGATGCACCTTATATATGGATCAATATTCTGATTTCTTGGACGTAGTATTTTAAATGTTCTGTAAAGAGCTTTGTTCCAGCTGCAGCGGTTGTAAAAGCTCTATGTCAATGGTTCTTAACCTTGTCAGAGGGACCGAATCCAACAAGTTCATCTGCACATTCATCGAACCCTTTATTCGTGAAAAACAAAAATATGACTTTTTACAAATTCAAGACATAAAAAAAACATTTATTAAAAACGAAACAAAGGCAAATACAATTTCAAGATATAAGTATAAGTTTTTTACAGAACATTTGAGCACTGAGCGAACTAAATTTCCCACAGCACTGATTGGACAAGCAATGTCATGTGATCATCTGCAGCCAGTGATGGCCAAGCGGGCGTGTCATAACTAATTGACATGTTGAGTTGAGTGTGTCTTAACCTCTCTGGCAGAGGCTCCGTCGAACCCCTGAGACCGATTCACCGAACTCCTAGGGTTCGATCAAAACCAGGTTGAGAATCACTGCTCTGTATAAAAGCTGAATTGTATTGTGTTGTATTCCCCTTAGAATAGCTCCATCAAGTGGGTGCATAATGCAACCGCAGCCACTATTGTGGCTTCTATTCTATGCGCCCTATAATGTGGTGCGCCCTATATATGAAAACAGTTTTAAAAATAGGCCATTCATTGAAGGTGTGCCTTATACTCCGAAGCGCCTCATAATGCGGAAAATACGGTACTTGTTGTGCACCCCACAGATTTTCTTCTTAGTCTGCTAACCTCCAACAGCACCTGTTTGGGATGGAAAAATTCAAGTCTTATCAGCATGCAAGATGAAGGGTAATGACAGGAAAATGATAAGAGTGTCGTCAGATTCCTCTTCTGTGCAGAATTAAATATTTCATGAGGAAGACTAAACAATGAGAAAGAAGGTCTTGCGAGTTGACAGCACCAAGATCGCCAAGGTCACCTCTTGTCTCTCTGTAACGGGCATGAGTTTTTTTGGGGGGGTTATTTCTGCCGTGTATGCGCTTGTGAAAGGCAAACAACACGAACACTTTTGTCAGTCAGTATGAACCCTTTCATCCACCAATAATGAGAACCTGTAACTTGATAACATGATAAGCTGTCCACTATAGTAACCACTGTCTCTGAAAGGGTTAAAATCTTCCTTTGTTTCATGCTCAAATTAATCTGTCGCAGTTTTCAAATCGGACGGTAATTTGGACAATGATAGCGTCTTTAACATTTTTCCCTTGACATACCACCACGATGGATCTGCGATAAAATGAATAAAGTGTAAACTACAGTATCAGCTTTCATTGAAGTGCACTGTGTACAGTGGGTAAGTGGACTCTTATTCTGCGACTCGTTTAACTCCGCTCGCTAAGTACATGTAAATCCTGGATAAATACACTTTTCAAAAATACTCAGTGAACTCATTGCCTTAACATTTCCAAATAATACCAATCACTGCCGACTCATTTTTTAAAATTCAGCCTGTTAAATGAGAATTCCTCCATTATTTGTTGATGAATCTCAAAATGTCTTTCAAATCAAAGGTTTGCATCACGTGGTACAATGTTTACGGAATTCAGCGAGTTCATATCGCCAGAGTAGCGAGGCGGGAGGAGGTAGAAATATTTTGAGGATATCAGGTAACACTCTTCGATGTCATTAAATGGAGACGCCTACTGAAGATGACATCACGTTATTGCCGTGTGTAATAGATGTACCGTCTGTGTGGCTGAATTACTACTATCGCCGCAGATGTCCACTTGATTCATGTTTCAAGTTGGATTAAATTAAAGTCAAATGGAATCACAACAACTAACTCAAAACAACCTATTACCTTGATATTTTGAGGACATATGGGTTGGATGTGTACGGATGAGCTTTCATCTTACAGATGCGTTGTATACATATCCAATTTATCTCCACATACAGAAGACGCCCAGTTCAGATACGGAAAAATTGGAAATTGTGGTGTTCACAGTACATGAAAAAAAATCAGATAAATGTCATATATGGGCAAAAATAATCAGAATTTAGCTTGGGTGTAATATAACCCCATAGATAGGGGCAACAAGAACAACATGAATTATCAAACATGATCAATGCAAAGGTCCAGATGCATAGAGTAGCATGACCCCAAAAATCTGTATTGACATGAAAAATTCACACACACACACACACACACACACACACACACACACACACACACACACACACACACACACACAAAATGTTGCCACGGATTTGTTTTGTTTTGTTTTGTTGTTAAGTGAAATCCAGTTTTGGAAGTGGTAATTGCTACTCGATGCAAAAACTTTAAGAACCACTGAGCTGACTAATAATTTGAGCTTGTCTGTGGATAGCTGCTTCACTGTCTTTGCTCCCCAATAGACCCCATTTTACTTTCTCAAAGCAGTTGAATAGTTGATTAACTTTGTGGCTGATGACAAGCTAACCTTAGAGTTGGGACTGTAATAACATGCTAGGAGTGGAAGGGTCCAACTCAGGTTTTTGTAGCTGAACTCAGTTTCAGTGAAGCTTCCTGGCTTGAACATGTTGCTTGGTAGAACCTCACACATAAAGGAAATTAAATCCAATACCGCTGATTTGCTTTCTCCATCCATTGTTTTCTCCATCCCTCTCTCTTTCTCTCTCTCTCTCTCTCTCTCTCTCTCTTCCTCAAACTGCTTGACTAACCGCTGTTGTAAATTGTCGGTAAAAACTAAAGTCAAAGAAAAGCAGTTGCATTGAGTGCTTGTAACAAGTTCACTTCCTCTGGAAAAGCACGTGTGTGTGCGTGTGTACAGGGCTGCCCATAACAGGTCGCTCAGGAACATGTCAGTGGGCAGCAAGGTGGGGGACTCTTGACAGTGAAGCTATCCAGCTCACCATCTGGTGGAAGTGTCAGTCATGTACACATTTAGGAGTTCAGTCCTTTCAGATCCAGATCGCCTGCTCGTGTTTCTTCTATCTGGCGGGCTTCAGAAGCAGACCGCTGGTGTCTCATGTAACTTGTGCTTCGTTTTTAAAAGCAGTGTACCAGGGGCCCATTTTGCTTTCATGAAGTTTTTTGAGAAGCTGCTATTTTGGTTGACAGTGATCATGTTGAGGTTATCTTGAACATTTCGAGTTGTCCTTGGAAAATCAACTCGTACTGCGCATTATTCCCACTTGCAAACAATAATTGGAATCAGGTACAGTATTACAGAGACTAGGGATTGGCAATTTATGGAGAAATATGTGCATGTGTCATGTTTGAGATGGTAGAGGACCCAAAAAGCAGGCTGGCAGGAGTTGAGTCGAATAATTTAATTACTGAATACATTTACGTCCTCCCGGTTCAAAACCAAAAGGTAACGACCAATCACGGCTTCCGGGTTCGATCATGTGACGTACGCGAGCGGAGCCCTTCGGTACTGTGACGTCACTTGCAGTCGAACAAGTGCCAAGATGAATAAAACGAGGGGATTTTGCTGATTCATATTCTACAAACGCAACATTAGAATATAATGTTTTGACGAATAGGTGCGCACAGAACATATTGAGACAATCTTTGACTTGACTTTGTCTTTAAAAAGCGGCAACCTGACATTGGAATAATGTAAACAACACTGCCTGAGCACTAACACTGCTGCAATGAGTTATAGCAGGTGTGTGAATTCAGCAATCATTATCGGTAGAATAGCAGGCTCAAAAATAAAAATAATACCCGTGACGCATGGTTTCTACAATTGTATGAGAACCAGGACAAAGTTTTCATGACTTTGCCGCTCGTTTTAATCATGATGAATTTGTTTATTTTGTGTTATCATGAGTAGGCTAAAAGCACACATTAGAATCGCATTTGTTCTTGCAAAGGCATGCCTTTGAAGCAGGCTCCTGGCATTTAAAACATGCCACCACTCGAACTGTTGACAAGAAAGAAGTTATTCATTTCACGCAAGTGGACTTGTGCACACCAAACGCACACGTCAACAAGTCCAGTTTATGTGCTTCATCCAATGTTTCAACTGTTCATCACTGTCTGTGCATTGAAAACAAATCCATGTCAACATGCGTGTGTGAGACATAGCGCGGCTCCAGCACTTGATTGCGCAACTGCTTTCGACGAAAACAACTCAGACCTGTTGAGTAACTCGCTGAGGGAGGGAGAGAGAGAGAGAGAGAGAGAGAGAGAGAGAGAAAATCCAGAGCACATAAACCTCAGGATGAGAGGTTTAATGGGTGGCAGAAAGCTTACATCGTTCAAAAAGACAAGCATGGGACACTTAAAGAATTATAAAAATAAGACATGGCACAATAATTCAGTTGTGAGATAAATGAGTAGGTTTCAACAGTTATATAAACTGCCACTGTGGCAAAATAGGCTCACGATGCATTGGGAGTCTCAAGAGTTCAGGGTGTGGCGATGGTGGAGATATGGCACAAACAGACACACCCCCTCAAAAAAAATCACGTTTTCCCTTGGGAGGGGTATGGAAATGGTGCCGCCTGCAAGAAGACATTAAACAAGACAAAATGTTCATATTAGGCTGGCACAAACCACAAGACGAGACAGTCTAATTAAACCTCTATAAATAAGCAGATAACTTGCCCTGGAGCAGTTCTGTGACGTGTCAGATCTTGGTGGGTTTCACATAAAAACACATTTCACACAAAGACCATCCAAGACACATCCAAGGAAATTGGGTAGCAAATCAACAGGAGGAAAAATGTGTCATTTAAAAATGTGCCGGCAAAAATAGACAAATAAGTAAATAACAGAAGCAGACAGACACTCGTAGTTTACTTGTAGAACTGGATGAAACTACTCATCGCACGCAATTGACAACACCAACTCAGTTATATGTTGTTACAAAGACTTCCCGTAAAGCCTTTTGAGCATTTGTGGAGATAAGGAGGCAATTTATGTGTGACATATGCCTACGAGGGGCCAGTATGTTACTCGTGCAGCACCATACTAGTATGGCTTAATTGCGTTCTAGTAAGCTTAAAGTGGCACATATCGTGTAAAAAAACCCACTCGAGACGGCAACACATTAGTGCATCCTCGTCATTCTCGATACATACCAGAAGGGCCTACAAATCTTGCTCGTGATGCAGTTTACGAGTGCGTTTTAAACGTGTAGTAGTGCTCAAAAAGCGGCACTAGTAATAGATCAATACATTATTCATAATATGATCTTACTACTGGTAAACTGAATCGTCTTAGTATTCGTAAGACTATCCACAAGAAAGTTCCAAGTGAGGACAAAGCACGTGCTAGTTCATGGACTTTAAACTGGATGTAACCGATACATGCTCCAAATTTGAAACGGCTTGCCAAGGAAACTGCGTTTTGGAAAAGGTAAGTACCTCTCCAATATGCTAGGTGGCGTTAAAATACTCTTCTACGATTGAGACCAAAGAAGAAGATTGCTACCTCCAATACACGAGGTGGCGCCACCATACTTTTGTACAATTCAAAAAGACGGAAGAAGAAGCAGCTTCTGCTCGGTACGTGGAGCAGGTTTGAGTGAGTAACTTTTCGAACCTTCTGTGAATAAATGTTCACCAAAGCGTTTTTGCATTTAGCCAAACGAGCGAATTGAGCGTCAGCCCCACTGTCATAAAGACTGATGTGCGACTGACGAAGTGTTTGTTGGCACTAACGTTAGCTTTCCAACTAGACCGTCCTGCACCAAAATTGACCCGTTGAAGCTACGTCACGTGAACGCACAATGACGGACAGCAAAAGATAGTTAATGACTGCCGAATTAAAGTGGACGGAAAACGGAGCGAATTAGCGACTGTAAACGTTATTTTTGCCGATTGAGCCATGACACCCACCACTTCAACTGCTGCGTTCACTTGACCGGAATTCACAGCGAACGAGCTCTTTCATTGTTTTCAATTCCGTATCCCCTTAACACCGGAGCTGATTTAAAACCTTATAAAAGTCTGGACGCATATTAGTTTTTTTTTGTCGCTGGCTGGGTCTCTGGGACGAGATGCTACACTCACACCAGGTGGGGCAAGATGCCTTGTAATGGGCAAGGTAAAACTTGCTTATGATGCTGACGTCTTTTTTTCTAATGCACATTCCGTCCCGTTTCCGCCCAGTGCCATGCGGTAATATAATGACTGAGTAAAATATGTGAACAATGATTTACTAACCCTGTAAAAATTGATCGCTGCAAATCCTCGAATACTGCTATCCATCACCGTCTTTTATCGTCATCAAAATTATGTGATTAAAAAGACAAGTTTGGTGTACACTCTTGTCTATTAGTACACCCGACTGCACAGCAAGATATGACAATTTTAGAAGATAATTGCTGATATAAATAGATACTGGATTATTGGCTTTTCGGGAGTTTCAACAGGTGCAGTTATTTTGCTGTCTGTCTTGGCGGTGGGGGCGTTCCTACGAAGACTCGAAGAGATTTTTTTTTTTAATTAAATAAGCTCTCTACATTGACAACATCCGCGTGAGATTCCATTAAGAAACAAGATGATCAACTGGAATCCACTGTAAGTTGGGTTAAATTGTCTTGTACATTAATAGTAAATTTGGATGTGAAACTTGGGTTAGATGGATGGCTGCAACTTGATCCAAGTTTTGGATTCAATCATTTCATTGAAGAACAAAAACAGCATGAATGTTGTTAAATATTGCTCATTCCAAATGAAAATTACACACCCATCCCTCCAAAATCTCCAATTCAAGATCCTCCCGTTTCCTACTAAAACGTTTTGCTTCTTTGAAAGTTTAGTCTTCTGTTGAAATGTTAATGTTTAAAGCCATTGTCGGCAGATGAAATTAATTGTGCCCCCTGTTAGGAATACACTACCCATCAAAAAAGTGAGTTTTAGCAACCGTAAAAAGGTATGTAATGTTTCGCTGTTTGTGTCCCAGGTTTAACATGGACTTCCTCAAGAGTCCGTTGGACATGCTCAAAAGTCCAATGGGGATGGGTGTCGCTGTAGGACTGGGCTGCGGGCTCCTCGTAGGTTGGCAGCTGCGCGCCTTCTTGGGTCCATCACCCCGAAGTCTGCTCAGCTCTATGGCATCTGGATCGAATGAAGCCATGGTGATGGGGGAAGGAGGGAATTTCAAGATGACCCTAGTGGTCCGCAGCGACCTCAAGATGGGCAAGGGGAAAGCGGCCAGCCAGTGCGCCCACGCGGCAGTGGCGGCCTACAAGCAGGTGCAGCGCAGGAACCCCGAGCTTCTCAAGATGTGGGAGTACTGCGGCCAGCCCAAAGTGGTGGTGAAGGCCCCAGACGAGGACACCCTGGTTCAACTCCTGGGGCTCGCTAAGGAGATGAGGCTGCCCGTCAGCCTGATCAAGGATGCAGGCAGGACACAAATTGCCCCCGGCTCCTGCACGGTGCTCGGTATCGGTCCTGGTCCGTCTGAGCTCATTGACACTGTCAGTGGAGATTTGAAGCTTTACTAAAGCTCTTCACATCAATGTCCTGGATGCAGCTTCCTCTACTAAAACTTGTGAATGGGTATTCAAAGGAAATGCAATGACATTTCCTGTCACAATATATCAGTGGCAAAGATAGATGATCAAAGATGCATTATTTTTAGGAATCATCCAGACCATGGGGTGTCAAACGTACGGCCCGCGGGCCGGATCCGGCCCGCAAAGGACTTTAATCCGGCCCGCGAGATGATAATGTAAAGCAGTGGTGTCAAACATACGGTCCGCGGGCCGTTCAATCAGGCCCCACAGGATAATTTAAAAGTGAAGAAAATGCATAAAAGACACAGAATAAATATTTTTAATAAGGTGCAATTCATTGAGTATCCGCTAGGGGACACTGTTTTGATCAGAGAAGAAGACAACAGCAGCCTCAGTCCATCACTGAGACAGACCCATGACAGCAGA